GAGGTGAGTGGGGAAGTCTACTTTCAAAAGTGGGAATAATATGAGATCTTCTTTCGACTAAATCATACAAAGATGACGTGTCGGTGAGGCACGGACGAAATGGGTTCTTAGTCAACCGGTGAGCTCTGACTAGAACTTCTGGGTAAACAATAACGCTAGAAGCAATCGTCCACAAAACGAAATGAAACGTCGACTTGGACTTAGAGCCGCCATCAGTGACGATAAGATTAGATTAGCTTAGATTATCAGCAAAGTATCAAGTAACACACGTTCTGCGGCTACACATTTCAAGTTTCTCGGAAACGGGTTCAGTTAAAGTCGAAAGTAGCATTAAAAATCACAGACACGTTGTTAAATGCAAATTCTGGACAGAGTATTGCAACTGTGATAGCCAAATAGAGCAGAATGACCCGTTACTGTCTAAATCAACGGGTGACAACTACTTGCAGAGAACGACTTGGCCAAACTCACTGACCTGCTTGTCCAACAAGCCCAGTCCGTGTTTTGTTCTACAATCGTTTTGTCATTTACCTTTGTTATTCTCCCCTTACCATATTCCATACTTTAGATGCTATTCGTACTATCCTGTACTTGTACACACGCTTCTGTACTGTTCTGTCCTTCTTGTTGTTAACTCGTTACTTATTCAACCAGCATCTACATACGACTACATACTCAGTTGAAATAAACTTTCGTCCCACAAAACTATCTACCACATTTCCACGAGATTTCCAAGTTAGATACGCTTGAGATTGTGTGTTGAATGATGAATGAGGGTTACTTAAGTAACCCACGAGTCGTGAAGAAGAGAAGACCATATACAGTCACGAACGATGCTTCTAACGTACTCAAGCCCCTTCCGCTGGACACTACACAGTGGACGGGCAATTAAAGACATAAAATAAGTGCTCTTTACAGACGTGCTCATTACAAACAGGTACTGTCACCCTCACGTTTGGTCACTCTAAAGAACTTCATTTACACACCACAGTTCCAGCTCGATAAAACAATTCGCCTTGGGTAGGCACGTATGTCGTGTGGAAGGTTAAATCAGTCGGGAGGGCACGGTCTCTCTAACACAATTTCATTTGTGCACTTTAATCTCTGAGACTAAAAGGGCCATGTTGGATGCGGGAAGGCTCGGACAAGAGCAGACGGAATAACTTTAAAGCGTAGGGTAGGTACGACAGGAGCACTGACACTAGTCGCCATAACAGATTAAAAATAAACATTGGGAAAAAAGGTACGGGGAACCAACGGAAACTGATGTGCTTGGATAGCTGATTTTTATCAGAAAATTTATCATTTTACGGAAGTTACACAACATTTTAAATACGCAACAGGAACACAGGATAGTTGAGGTAATAAGACAACTAAGTGACCGACCCATTTGCAGCTAGTAAACCTTAGACCTCGAGCTTACCTACTGGGTATTTTTCAGCTGTCTTCTGTTATATTTCTCAGCTGGTCTCCTCTACTCCCGCAGTGAATTGAAAATTTGTTGGCGTCTGTACCAAAGTCATGACCGACAGTCACGCTTGGTATATGTATATGTATATTGAAGGGTAGAATAGTATTACCGACAAAGACAAGGGAGACTGGAATGGCCATTTCTGGCTTATTAGCCGTCGTCAGCCAGCCATACCCAAGCCCGA